AAAATGTGGATAAAAGTTTCTATCTTAAACAAAGAATTCTAAGATTTAATAGAGGTATCTAAAGGTAAGGTATGGTGATATTGTTGTTGTTTTAGGTGTTCTTTAAAAAAAAAAAAAAATTTGTTTATTTTTGAGACAGAGTCTTGCTCTGTCGCCCAGGGTGGAGTGCAGTGGGGAGATCTCACTGTAACCTCTGCTTCCCAGGTTCAAGTGATTCTCCTGCCTCAGCCTCCCGAGTGGCTGGGATTACAAGCGTGCACTACCATACCTGGCTAATTTTGTATTTCTTTTTTTCTTGTTTTAGTAGAGACGGGTTTTCGCCATGTTGTCCAGGCTCGTCTTAAACTCTTGGCCTCAAGTGATCTGCCAGCCTTGGCCTCCCAACGTGCTGGGATTACAGGTATGAGCCACCGCTTTAAGCGTTCTTTGTAAGAAGTTTTCTGGTGCGATTTGGATGAAAATAGGCAGAACGTGTAATGAAAGTTTTGGTATTTAGTAGCCCCAGGCCCCAGCATTTAGCAGGTCCTCAATAAAAGCTGGTTTTCCTTACTATCTTATCATCCTGGAATAAGATGGATTTGGTGAAACCCTCTGACTACATTTGGAAGTGAAAGGAAAATAAGAGAAACATGCAACAGCAGAGCTGTAATAAAGTACTCACTTGTAAAGTAAGCATTTGCAATGAACCCGTTTTTTGACTCCTCCCTTGGGAAGGATTCCCAAAGGAATTCTGAGACACTGACCAGGGATTACTGAAGGCTCTAGACGACCAGTAGGAGAATTGGTGATTCCAAGTTGTCCTTTTCTTTCAGTAAGCCAGCCTCCCTCTTGAGGGAGGTGGGATTATAGTTCTTAATTAATGTCAATTTTAATTAACGTTTAGACTTTTTACGTGATTAAGCAAATGCTGTGTGCCCACATTTTGCATTTCTTAAGCTATCTTTTCTTAGTCTTTGCTTTTCCTCAAATATTTTACAAGCCAGAGCTTTTTAATGTAATTTGACATTTCATCTGCACTTAGCTAGGAGAGCCAGCCTTGCTATTTATCTGGGGGCAAGCAGCACTTTGAAAAAATTTACATTAGATTAAAAAAAAGAAATCTCGTCCGACCTGGTGTGGTGGCTCATGCCTGTAATCCCAGCACTTTGGAAGGCCAAGGCAGGAGGGTCACTTGAGGTCGTGAGTTCGAGACAAGCCTGACAAACATGGCAACACTCTGTCTCTACTAAAAATACAAAAATTATCCAGGCATGGTGGCCCATGCCTGTAATCCCAGCTACTTGGGGGGCTGAGGCACGAAAATCGCTTGCAGAGGTTGCAGTGAGCCAAGATTGCACCACAGCACTCCAGCCTGGGCAACAGAGTCAGACTCTGTTTCAAAACAACAACAACAACAACAAAACAAAAAAATCCTTATCCTTCTCACAGAAAGTCTAGATAGATAAATGAGCTTTCTTAGGGTTCTCTTGCTCTCTGTCTTTTTTCCTCAGTGCTAATTACCAATCTTGTTAGCAGCAGCGTATTAATAATGTATTTACACCCTGAATTTCTTTGGACAATATTTTCTTAATACCTATGCAAATTTTATTTTTCCAGGCTCGCTTTTCTCCCAGTTTTGAAAAAAATTTGTTGGAAAGAGATAATTTATAGCAATTATAATTCTCATAATAATTATTATCCTCATCGGTATTAAAAGATATGAAACATGAATATACTGGGAGGCAGTGCTCTGTTAGGAGCAGCAGTTAATAATTTTGGAATCAAATAAACAGCATTGAATTTAGGCTCTACTATTTCCTGGCTTTGTGACTTGGGGCTAGGTATCTAATCTTCTTCCTCATCTGAGAAATGGGGGTAATAGGAGCATTGCCTTCCAGAACTGTTTTGAGGCTTTTCCGAAGGACCTGAATATAGGAAGTTCTCATTAAATGATAACAAATCTGACTCCAGACCATAGAAGGGTAAGGTTGGGGGTAGGAATATCAAATTGATTTGTGGAAGATCAGCAGTTCATATATTGGTAAAAACAATGTCTTACAGCAACTTCATAACTTCCAAAGCATTTTTGGATTCATTGTTTTACTTAATCTTTATAATAAATGGCAGGTGAGAATTAGTATCGTTTGAATGATGAAATAGATACCAAGGCCTGGAAATTTTTCTCTAGATTATGCTGTAGATAAGTTTCTGAAAGTGATTTCAGATGCCTGGTAACTGCGTTTAAAAGAACCCTCAAGAATCTTAGAACTTCATCCATCAGCCGTCAAATTTGAATGGAATTCTCCTTATGCGGTCACCAGCATCATGTGTTTCAAGGTTGATGTCCAGCCCAGTGCATGGCTGCACCGCATCATTTTGACACAGCATCTTTTCCACAGTGGTAGGTCCTCTGGAGGCGTTCAGCCTTCTGGGAAAAATTATGGACTTTTAGATCATGCTTATATTAAAAAGCCAGCTTTAAAAGTTGGTTTTGTGTATATTTAAAAGGGGTACAGAAAAAAACTTAGATAAAACTTTTATTACCTTTGTAGTTGAGCTTTAATAAAAGCTATAGTTATTTACATAAATACAAAAATTAAGGAGGCAAAATGAACATGTAACAAAAGAAAGTTCTAGGCTTTGTAATTCTGCTTGTTTTTTATATTACCAAGTAGTTCTGCATAAGGCAGGAACAACATTAATAGTACAGTTTGTTAACTCCTATTTTTTCCATTAAAATTTTTAATGAGAAAAAAATGCATTCTTGTAACATTTTCAAATGGGAAAGGAGTACATAAAATAACTGAAGTAAATTCCTTTTCATTGATCCTTTTTAAGAATTCTACCTCCTGTTAGCAAGTTGTAGTATATCTTTTCAGGCTTTTTTCTATTCCCATCCTTGCTCATGCACAAATATATACATGAGTTTTACAAATGGGATGAATGACATTATTATGTACAATCTATCTAGATTGCTTTCTGACTTCTTTTTTGAACTTTATATCTTGAAGAATTTCCCTAGGAGTATATATAAAACAACCTAATTCTTTTAAATAGCCATATAGTGTTTCATTGTTCACATGGAAATATTAAAACTTAGTCATTACTTTCGTGGATGAATGTTTAGGCTGTTAAAAATTTTTCTCTATTATATCATTAATATTCATATATATATTTGTCCACATGTGTAAGTATTTTTGTAGGATAGATTGTTAGAAGTAATATTGTTCCATCAAAGGGCATAATCTTTAACATATTGATGAATGTTGCCAAACTGACCCACAGAAATGCTATGGTTGTTTATATTCAGATTCATAGTGATGAAAATGCCCTTTTCCTTATACCCTTACCAAAACTACATATTATCAATTGTTCAGCTTTCTTTAATCTGGTGGGAAATCACTAAAAAGATTATTGATCTTTATATTCATTGATCACTTTTTTCTTTTTATGTTGTTCATTTTAATTCTTTTACCTTATTATATTGGGTTGTCTTTTCATTATTTAATTGAAGGAACTCTTTAGTTTTTACATATTATAGCAGTTAATCCCTTTCTGTTATATGTTACACCTATCTCCTTTCAGTCTGTTTTGTCTTTCATTAAACATGGTTTACGTGATCTTTTCCTGGGCAGAAAAATTTAAAGCATCATGTAGTTATATCTGACAGTTGTTTCCTTGTGTTTCTTGTGACTTACGAGTTTTTTGCTTTTTTTCCTCCCCAAGTTCAGGTCAGATGGGTAATGTGCCGAGATTGTAGTGCATTTCACACGTGCATGTGAACACCCAGTCATTGTTGCTCATGAGCTACAAAAGGATCAGGCTTCTAAGTTTTCTATCTTGTTTACGAATGATATTTCCTTAAGAGTACATACGTATTTGGGTTGGGCAAGGTGGCACACGCCTGTAGTCCCAGCACTTTGGGAAGCCAAGGAGGGAAGATCACTTGAGGCCAGGATTTAGAGACCAGCCTGGCCAACATGGCGAAACCCCATCGATACTAAAAATACAAAAAATAGCTGGGAGTCGTGGTGCACACCTGTAATCCCAGCTACTTGGGAGGTTGAGGTGGGAGGATTGCTTGAACCCAGGGAGGCAGAGGTTTCAGTGAGCAGGAATTGCACCTGGGTGACAAAGCGAGACTGTAAAAAAAAAAAAAAAGTACATACATATTCTTATGTTTTCCTCATATTTGTTAAAAATTTTAATCTTATGATTATTAATTCAATTGGAATTTATGGCCAGGCACGGTGGCTAACGCCTATAATCGTAGCACTTTGGAAAACCGAGGAAGGTGCATCACCTGAGGTTAGGAGTTCGAGACCAACCTGGGGCAACATGGTGACACCCCACCTCTACTAAAAGTACAAAAATTAGCCAGGCATGCTGGCATGCACCTGTAATCCCAGCTACTCAAGGGGCTGAGAGAGGAGAACCACTTGAACTCTGGAGGCAGAGGTTGCAGTGAGCCAAGATTGTGCCACTATACTCTAGCCTGGGTGACAGAGCAAGACTCCATCTCAAAAAAAAAAAAAAAAAAAAAAAAAAAAAAAAAAAATTGGAATTTATTTTGAGGTATAGTGTGAGGTGGGAATCTCATTTGATTATTTTTCCCTTATGTTCTACCACAATTGATTTGAAATTCTTTCATTAGTATGCACTACAGTTCCCATGAAAACATGGGTCTGTTGCTGGATTCTCTCTTCTGTTTACTGAACTATCTTTTTAGTCCTATGCCAATACATTTTTGTTTAATTACTATAATTTTGTAATGTATTTTGATATCTGGCATGGAAAATCATCTTTATTGTTCTTTTGCTTTAAAAGTCAGCATTCTTACTTATTTACTCTCCCAGATAAAATTAGGATCAGTCTTTCAATTCTAAACGTATTTTTTCTCTGAGTATTTGATGGGATTATACTGAGTTGATAAATTGGCATAAAATTGATATCTTTATAATGTATTTTTTTTTAAAGAAAACAAGCTTGGCAAGTTTTATTAAAGGAAAATTTTGCATAGTTTACTTTCCACCAGGCTGTTCTGGCATGCTTCTAATGATAGCAGAATCACCTGGATCAGTGAGCGCCAGTGTGCACACTCTGTAGTATTTTCCACATGCTGTGCCCAGTTCAATATTATTGCCACTGTAGTGATGGACACCAATTTTGGCCAACATTGCATAGTACTCTATTTCCGATTTCTTCAAAGCTGGGCAGTTGTTAGCAAGGATGACTAATTTTGCTGTGCCTTGTCTGATCATCTTTAGAGTCTGCTTGTACCCCAGCATGTACTTTCCACTTTCCATGAGTTGGAGCCGAGAATTAATTGACTCCAGTGACTTTTTCATCTCCTTGGTCGGGATGGCCCAAACTAAGAGCTGCTGCCAAGATGGCCGGGGAGTGAGAAAGGTGATATCTGTATAATGTTATATTTACAATAAAAATATTACATATACTATATATATATATAATCTCTGTATTCAGGTCTCTTTTTCATCCTTACATATAGGTTTAGAGTTGTCTTCATTATATGTTATGCAAATTATTCCTAGATAATCCATAATTTTATCTTTTTCCAGTTGTTTTTAAATGACTTACCTACATATGTGCCACATGCAGGAGGAGATGGCAGAAATAGTAAATGATTTGCCTAAGTGCAACTAGTTAATAACAGAATTTAGATTAGAAACCAAGTCTTCTGACTGGAATTCCTCCCACAATAAGGCAGATTCTTTTACTATTGTCCCATTCTTGTTGCTATCTTTCTCTCTCTCTATTTTACTTTATTTTATTTTATTTTGAGATAAGGTCTCGCTCTGTTGCCCAGGCTGGAGTACAATAACATCATCTAAGCTCTCTGCAACCTTCGCCTCTGGGGTTCAAGTGATTCTCCTGCCTCAACCTCCCAGGTAGCTGGGATTCCAGGCACCTGCCACCACACCCAGCTGTTTTCTGTATTTTTAGTAGAGATGAGGTTTCACCATGTTGGCCAGGCAGGTCTCGAACTCCTGACCTCAAGTGATCCACCGCCTCGGCCTCCCAGAGTACTGGCACTACAGGCGTGAGCCACCACCCCTGGCCTCTCTCTCTCTTTGAATGTAGCTTTGTGTTGAATAATGAATCTGAGTCAAGAAAATATAGCCTAATCTCATACATTTTAGACTCATAAGAAATTGAAATAAATGTGTAAGGCTCACTTCTCAAATTCTATTCATATTCAAAGTAAGTGATATTTATGTTGATGCAATTTAGGGAGTCTGTCTTTAACCTAATATTGCTTTAAAGGCCTGACACAAATGAAACCTAAGCAAAATTTCTTAAATAGTAATCTCAAATTTTATCTATGAAATAAAGCTTTAAAAGGTCATCTTATTCATAAGTTTTATATCTCATTAAAGACTGAAAAAACATAATCTCATTATAATTAAACTTTGCATTTTATCTTTTATTTAGTGCCGTTGCAAAACAGAATTGTTTGATCACTGTCAACAGTTGAAAACATGATGGTAGTTTCAGCAATTATTGGTACATTGTGAGTCTATCACCAAGTATTTTAATGCCAGTGCAAATCAGTGATTTCAATAAATAAATTTTGAAATAAATAAAACCAGAATGTTTTAACAAAACTTAAACTAAAGGCACAAAATGTATAGATGCAGGCTTAATGGTGTACCCTAACAACGTTTCTGCAGGTGGCTTGTCAGGAGGAAGCTTGATGCATTCTGTCCCTTGAATAGGCAAAGGTCTCCAGCCACTTTCTTTAAAGTTAGTAGGTGTGCCAACTAATTCCATTGCACAAGAAGAACCCTGAAAGATTTAACAAACTGCATCTTTTCCCCCTATTTTTAAGCACAGTGCCTCAAACAAGATGCTAGTTATCCCTGTGAGATCAGATCAAATATAACAGTGAGAAATTGAAATTTGTATTCAGTCCACTTAAATGCTCATCCAGTCAAAAATAGATTTGGTAAATTATAAACACATGGCTTGTTTTAAATACAAAAAAATTAGAAAAGGAACTGACTGAGAGGATCAAAGATGAGTGGAACCAGGTTTCATGGTATGGAGGCCAGTTGAACAAGTAAAGAATACAAAATAAAATACAGACAGTTTTCTTCTTGATTCAGGAGGTATCTGAATTTCCTGCACTTGTGGAGAAAGTCATCGTGCTTGAAAAGGTCTAGGTGTCCTGGTTGAAGCAGTATAAAAGCTGAGGATTCTGACACTCTTGTTTTCATGGTAGGCTCCTGACTTGATAATGAGCCACTTGGATATGAACCCTTGTTGACACACATTGGTATGCAGACGCCAGCTGTGGAGTCTCCCACAAGTGAAGAGTAGGACTCAAGTAGGTCTTACATGTTAGTAAAATCTTTATGCTACTATTTACAGGGGTCTCACAGAATATCTTTGCCTTCTACTTTTAGTATTTGTGGCTCCCTTCTGGTGAAGAGTCCTGGGAAGACATGGTGCTGATAGTGATCCAGTACATCAAATACCATGACTGTTTTTTGTTTGTTGTCTTCCATCCGGGTCTTCTTAACAGAAAATTTATTAATTTTTAAAAATAAAATGTTTTCATTTTAAAAATGAAAATATTTTACACCATTACATGTAAACTCCCATATCTTTACTATTTGTGTCTCATTCTCATTGCTGCCCAGGTGAAACCTGTAAGTTCTATCAGACAGGCCTCTTGTCTTCGTTCTTGCACAAGGCAGCCACACCTGGAATGAGAGCAGCTGGGATCCAGTGCTCAGCCACAGGGACTGGAAGTAGCTGTGTTAGGAATATGGTGCCCCAGCTTTTCACTGAGGGATTGATGCTTCTTTGGCTGACATAAATCTGCTCTACTGAAAAACATTTGGAAAGGAGCTTTGCAGAGTGTAACTTGCCTGGTTGGCAGTCTTGTTTCTTTCTTAGCCAAGAAGAAGCAAGGGGCTCATCAAACCAAATTTCAACCTTCAGCTCCACTTGAAAAATCATGGTGGTTGACACAGGGATCAGCAAAGTCTTTGAAGTTCTTTGGCATGCAAGGCAAATTATAATTTCGTTCATAAGGGAAATGTTTTTCCTTTTGTGCTGTTTGGTATCCTGGGCACAGAATTCCTTTCCAGTTTTCCATAACCAGCATCCTGGGTATTTTTGTATTAAAATTATACCTTATGTTTTATCCTTCTCTTACTGGATACGTTTCATCCTTTTTGCTTGAATAATTAGGCCAAGAGAATAAAAATGTAGTCTTGAGTCAAATAAATTCAAATTAAGTGGTTATTGAGAAAGAGACATTTCAATTTCTTCATTTGCGTTTTTATTTCCAGTGGAACACCAGCAATAAAGACTCTTACAATCAAATATGATAGAAATTCAGGACCAGGTGAGGTGGCTCATGTCTTTAATCCCAGCACTTTGGGATGCCAAGGTGGGAAGATCACTTGAGGTCAGGAGTTCAAGACCAGCCTGGGCAACATGGCAAAATCCTATCTCTACTAAAAATACAAAAATTAGCCGAGTATGGTGGTGTGCACCTGTAATCCCAGTTACTCTGGGGGCTGTGGCATGAGACTTGCTTGAACCTGGGAGGTGGAGGTTGCAGTGAGCTGAGATTGAGATCGTGCCACTCTACGCCAGCCTGAGAGATAGAAGGAGACTCTGTCTCTCAAAAAAAGAAAATATATATATATATATATATATATATATATATATATATATATATACACACACACACACACACGTATGTTTTGGTGAATTTCTATTTTATGTATAAATATATATTATTTTATTTATTTATCATACACATACAACAGAAATTCACCAAAAACCTGACTCTTCTTTAAATCTTACCAATTAGTAGAAATAAATGTTTAATTAATCAATCAGCATGTATGTTTGAGTGCCTCTGAGTTTAAAGATATTTAAAGTACTGCTGTTAGACTGTAGGGGTGGTAACAGTTCTTCCTAGAACCTGGAAAGAGGTGGCATTCTTCTTGCACCAGGTTCAGGCTTAGCTATTTTGGATCATTCCTTACTGAGAGTCAGCTAATCCCTCCTCAGTCCCCTCTTTATCACTGGCCTCAAATACACTGACTGTCTGTTGCACTTATGGAAAATAGATCCGTGGGGTGCTCCTGAACTTCTTTATAAGTTGAAGTGCCAATGCTGAAATTCATAATAATGCAACATAATAATGTGTGATCGACACTAAAATAAGTGTTCAGCATTTTGTATTTCTATAAGTTTAAGAAAAACTGTAAGGTTTTTTTTGTTGTTGTTTTGTTTTGTTTTAGAGACAGGGTCTTCCTCTGTCACTCAGGCTGGAGTCCAGTGACATGATCACAGCTCACTGGAGCCTTGATCCACCTGGACTCAAGCAATCCTCCCATCTCACCCTCCTGATTAGTTGGATTTATAGGACCATGCCATTAGGCCCGGCATATTTGTGTGTGTGTGTGTGTGTGTGTGTGTGTGTGTGTGTGTGTGTGTTTCTCAGAGACAGGGTTTCACTATATTGCCCAGGCTGGCTCATCTTGAACTCTTGGGCTTAAATGATCCTTCCATCTTGGCCTCCCAAAGTGCTGGGATTATAGGAGTGAGCCACCGTGCCTGGCCTAGAAAAACTGTAAGTTAAATGAAAGCATATGTGGTAAGAACTGCCCTGTCCTATAATTCCCCTATAGTCTCTTAATGCTTTTATACCTTACCAGGCCCAGCACTGCCCTGGTTTTGTTGACCTAGGTTAACTTACTCTGTGTGAGTTTTCTTCCAGAATGCAATCCTCTATACTAGGGCTCTATACCAGGGGTCAGCAACAGTTTTGGGTAAAGTGTCAGGTATTTTAGACTTGGGGAATGAATTAGTTTTCTAGGCTGCTCTAACAAAATGCCACAAAATATGTAGCTTAAAATAACAGAAATGTATACCCTTGCAGTTCTGGAGGCTCTGAGAGAGAACACATTCCATGCCGTTTTTTGTTTTGTTTTGTTTTGTTTTTTGAGACAGAGTCTCACGCTGTCACTTAGGCTGAAGTGCAGTGGCACGATCATGGCTCACTGCAAGGCCTGACCTCCTGAGCCCAGATGATCCTCAGACCTTAGCCTCTTAAGTAACTAGCACTATAGGTGTGCACCACCATGCCTGGTTAATTTTTGTTTTATTTTTTGCAGAGACATGGCCTTGCTAAGTTGCCCAGGCTGGCCATGCCTCTTTTCCAGCTTCTGCTGGTTGCTGGCAATCCTTGACTGGTAGATGCCTCACTCCAGTTTCAGCCTCATTACAGCATGGCTTTCTTCCTACTGTATATCTGTGTTCTCTCCTCTTACAAGGACACCAGTGATTGGATTTAGGACCCACTCTAATCCAGTATGACTTCATCAAAACTGAATTACATCTGCAAAGACCCTATTTCCCAATAAGGTCACATTCGGAGGCTCTGGGTGGACTTGGGAGACATTATTACTACTAGTCCTGCAGGAAGTCATCCAGTCTCTGTTGTAACTACTAAACTCTGGTGTAGCAGCAAGGCAGCCATGGGTAATGCATAAATGAAAAAGTAGGCTCTGTTCCTATTAAAATTTTATTTATGAACATTGAAATTCGAATTCTATGCAGCAATTTAAAAGATCATTCTTAGTTTGTGGGTCTTACCAAAAGATGGATGGGGTGCAGGGGGAAGATTCAACCCAGTGCCTATAGTTTGCTAACAAGTATGATATAGTGATGGTGAGGAGGTAGATGTAACTTTACGGTAATTTTTCTTCTTTCTGCTCATAAACAAAAAAACCACATTCTGAGAAAACCTGTTTGTGATTTGCATCAAGAAACTTTCAATGGCCTCGTGTTTTAGCAGAGAGGAAACGAGACTGATGCCTGTTTGGCAGCATCATTCCTGGTGTGCTTGCCAACATTTTGGTGAGGATTTTGCTGTCAAGATTAAGAGGTGATGCAGGCTTAAATGAAGAACATGACCCAGCGTCCTTGTGTTGAAGGATTAGGATATTTCCCTCATGGGATCATAGCATTCTCTGTGCCAAAGGTTTGAGTATACTTTTGAGGTGATTTTAAATTAAAGGAATTTTATGACTCAATACTACGTGGCATTCTGGTAAGATGTTGTCATTCCCTAGGTACTCATTGAAGACTAGATATTAGATAATATTCTGCACATCTGAACAGACTTCATCTTCTAATGCTAAGAGTTGCTATTTTATCTTGAGGCAAAATAAATCTAAATTTTCTGATTTATCATGCACATGCTTCTAATGAGATTTATGTAATGTAAAATTTGAAGTTAGTATTAAAGATTGTGATTTGTTTTTTCTAATTACAAAACCAAAACTTGCTCATTGTAGAAAGTTTAAATAATGCCAAAATAGATAATATAAAAATAGGAAAGTTTCCCATAATCTCAATTCTCAGTGATAATTTCTGAGACTTTGGTATGTATTTTTTCTTTCTTTTTCTTTTTTTTTTTTTTTTTGAGATGGGGTCTCTCTCCGTTGCCCAGGCTGGAGTGCAGTGGTGCGGTCTCTGCTCAATGCAGCCTCTGCCTCCCAGGTTCCAGCGATTCTCCTGCCTTAGCCTCCTGGTAGCTGGGATTACAGGCATGCGTCACCATGCCCGGCTAATTTTTGTATTTTAGGTAGAGACAGGGTTTCACCATGTTGGCCAGACTGGTCTTGAACTCCTGACCTCAGGTGATCCGCCCACCTTGGCCTCCCAAAGTGCTAGGATTATAGGCGTGAACTATCGGGTATGTATTTTTTTCAAACATTCCCCCTTCCAAGTAATTATAAAATCAAGTGAAAAAGTAAACACTGTACAGACATTTTACACGTTTTTAAGAGATTTTAGGACAAAGTATATGAGCAAAGTATCATTAGGTATTATACCTAATTATGTATTAGACTCATAGCATGCTAATAATAGAATATGAAATAGTTGTACCTCCTAATGTTAAGGGATATGTCTTTGTTTTGTTTTCGTTTTGCTGTCAACAAGCAGAGAGTGATCTAGTAGAAACAATAACATCCATATACATATATAGTAAAGTCCTATTCAGAAGCTCACTAAGCCGTGGGTTCAACAATAAGTCTTTTCTCCTTACTAGAGAGACTTGAAACAGGTATCCACCTTCTTCAATAATAGCATCAATAATTTAATAGGGCTTACTATTCACAGCATGTTATTAGTAGAGGCTTTATCTGGCTGAGAACTGAGGAAACTCTGGGAGCCTGTTTCATTTAGGGAGGAGTTCACTGTCAGGATCTCAAGTGGATATCGTAATGACTGCTGTAGTTTATGCCCTTAGCAGCTCAGAACAGAATGGTTGAATTACTACCCTCCTTAGACAACATGGAAATCTTGTGTGTAAAAGTGGATAATCCTCCACTTGTATACAAAAGTGGCTAGATAATCACAGACCTGGGCTTGAATCTTACCTCTATTTCTGTCATCCGTGGGGCCTTAAACAAGTTACTTAAACTGCGTTTTGGTTTTCTCATCTGCAAAATGGAAATAAATAGTAATGTGTCTGGAGTTGGTTGCTTCTGGTGGCTTCATGGTCTCACTGACTTCAGGAATGAAGCTGTGGACCTTTGAGTGAGTGTTAGAGCTCTTAAAGATGGCATGGACCCAAAGAGTGAGAAGTAGCAAAGTTTTTTGTGAAGAGCGAAAGAACAAAGCTTCCACAGCAAGGAAGGAGACCCAAGTGGACTGCCGCTGCTGGCTGGGGTGGTCAGCTTTTATTCCCTTATTTGTCCCCTCCCATGTTCCATTTCTGTCCTATTAGAGTGCCTTTTTTTTTTTCAATCCTCCCCACGATTGGCTACTTTTAGACTCCTGCTGATTGGTGTGTTTTACAGAGCGCTGATTGGTGCATTTTACAATCCTCTGGCTATCCACAGAGCGCTGATTGGTGCGTTTTACAATCCTCTTGTAAGACAGAAAAGTTCTCCAAGTCCCCACTTGACCCAGGAAGTCCAGCTGGC